AGAAAGGTATTGCCCTGGATCCAGAAGACACTGAATAGAATTCTGAAAAATGGTCATTATAAAACCCTATTAATTTTTTTTCATTATTCATCTGTCCTCTCTGTCTTTGTTTCTCTCTCTGTCTCTGTCTCTCTCTTTACACACACACACACACACACACACACACACACACACACACACGAGGTATAGGGATATTCAGGGAAGACTAGAATCTCTGGTGTGAGACCTTTAGTGTCCACCTTCACCCAACTCCTACTTGTGACTCCAGGAAGCTGTAGCATGAATAGAGGCCACATCCCAATAAACCATCTCAGCAGACGGCCTTAACTAGGTTGAGGGTAATACAGGCTTCAAACCCATCAGTGAGTTGGGGGCTGTTTACCCCAACATATGAAGACTTCCCCTGGCAGAATGAGCAGACAAGAACATTTGTTCCAACAGCCATGAAGGCAGCTGAAGCAGGCACTGTGGAGCACTTAGAGTGTGGTCAGACATAGAAGACACCAAGGTCACCCACTGCATTCTTGGCCACCACCAGTAATGCTGACTTTTGTCTTGCCAATAGACTTTGATGACTCAGGAAGAGAAAGTGAGGCTGATGACTGCACAGTTCTGCCTCACTTAAATCCAATTCTCTTGCAAGTCAAGACATCACCCTATGATATCATTGGTCCTCTTCCAAACGGAGGATGACCGACATCTATACATATATACACACATATCTCTTGTAAAGTAGATAAGAGTGTTGGACTTGGAATCAGGAATACCTGAATTCAAATCCCAATCAGACATTTACTAGCTGTTTGATCTTAGACAAGTCACTTAACCTAAGCCTCAGTTTCCTGATCTATAAAATGAAGATAATAATAGCACCTACCTTACAAAGCTGTTGTGAGGATTAAATGAGGTCACAGATGCAAAGGGCTTTGCAAACCTTAAAGGGCTATATAAATACTTGTTACTTCTACTTATATTTAATTTAATTATTTACTGCTGTCTTTGCCATTAGAATCTCTTGGGTTTTTTTTTTCACTTCACTCTGCATCAGGTCATATAAATTTCTCTGAATCTATCCCTTTTGTCATTTCTTACAACATAATAATATTCCATTGTGTTCATGTACTGTAGTTTGTTTAGCCATTCCCCAATGGATAAAAACACACGCTTTTTAACACCAGTCTCCTGATACCTACTCCAATGTGCTTTACACAATACTACTGTGGAAACATATTTAAAATCTCATTTACAGTAAAGCTGAAAATATTAAGAAGTAATATTTTTCTCTAAAGCCCTTTCCAGACTCTTGGAGAAAACCTCTTGGAAAGGTGAGTGACAGGTCAGTATATTAGGTGAATGAATAAAGGTGATAATAGTAATAATCAAATTTAACTCTTGTTCACATCATTGTCCCCCCATTCCTCTGAAGTGATTGTGGCTAGTACCCACCATTCTACACCGATAAAAGATTAAGATACCAATTGAAGAGACCAAGTTTAACCCCAGGATTGAGAGTTTCGGGGGACAAAGGGATGATGATGCCATTACTCAATAATTCTATAATATTAACCTAGACTCTGTTTTAACTTGTTCAAGTTTCCTATAAATATTATCTAAAATTGTCTTGGGGCAGAGAATCATTTTGCAGTACGTGAGGAATTACATCAGTTTGGACACGTCTCTCTTCATATTAGAAATGGCTTAGATACAGATTAGGCAGCGCTATGCATAGTGCTGGACCTGGAATCAGGGAAATCTGAGTTTAAATCCAACCTTAAACACTTACTAGCTACGCGACCCTGGGCAAGTCACTTAACTTCTTTTTGCCTGTTGCCTCGTCAGTAAAATACATTAACATTTTAATTGTTACTAATTAATAACAAATTATTTTTGAGATAATAGCACCTACTTCCCATGTTTGTTTTGAGGATCAAATGAACTAATGTTGTAGAGTGTCTAGAATATAGAAGGCACTATATAAATGTTATCTGTTATTTTGTTATTTCCATGTTAAATTAAATAAAATTGCTTCTGGCAGATGAGGCTAAATCAAAGAATATAATGTTAATATTAATACTTTTTCTTTGACATATTGTCCCTCTCCTATAGATTGTACTTCTACTTACTAAATTGCAAATCTAGAACTATTCTATGCCAGGATCTAAGATATAGTGGGGTGTTAGTGCCTCTGCAAGTCTTTCATGTTTAGCATTTCTTTTATGCATAAGAATAAATTACCATGCCTGATACCAATTGTACATTGAATACCTTTCTTCTTTCTTCCCCATCCTTTTTGGGGAAATCCTAGACACGAGGCATAACCTAAGCCGTAAGTAAATTTCTCTCTGAGGTAATAGAGTAGGAGAATCTTAAGAAGTATGAGAAAAGGCAGCTTAACTTCTCTCCTTAAAGACAGGCTCCTCAGAACAGAATTTGATTCATACTCCTGGTTAAAGAACAGAAAGTGCACATTGCCTCAGCCTTTGTAAGACCAACCATGGTTCCTCTTGGTTAAGTTATGTATTGAAATGCTTAATATATGAAGCAATTGGGAATATGAAAATAGGTTTGATTTCTTCATTTTGATCAGAATTTCATTACCTTCCTTTATTCTGAGAATATTCCCTACCCCAAATCATGGGGATTTGCATTTTGGGCCTTTGCCAATAGAGTTCAGTTCCAAAAATATTCCGTGGCTCAATTTTAGTGAAAATGTCACTAAGCTTAGATAGTATAATTAAAATTCCTTCAAAATGAAACCTCTTGTGTCTTCAGAGTAAAGTTTTAAAACACGCCAATATTATCTCACTTGATCTTAACAAAATCCCTGGGAGGTATTTCCATTTTGCAGATGAGAGAAATGAGGCTCAGAGGCTTGCCCAGAACCAGAAAGTGGCAGAACTGAGGTGCACCCAGGTCTCCTGGTATCAAGCCAGTGCTCTATTCATTGTAAGTCCAGCTGTACAAAATACTAGCAATTCATTTCTTACCCCCCATCATGGAATTTAAGGTTCTATTCAGGTGCAGTTTACCAATATTACAACATAAAACTATAAAAGTCTCTTCTGTCAAAGATAAATTCTGAGAAAAAAGAGAGGCATTTCTCTGTCAACAGCTGTATCTACTGGAGTTGAGCTCCAAGTCAGGATGGATTTCGGTAGCATATTCTCTTTATGTATAATGTCATCACAACAATTGCAATTGGAACTCTACTCATCTACCTACTGAATGTGTATAAAGACAGTATGGCACACTCTTAGCTAATGCTAAAATAGATACTGCTGCTTTTCAACTTAATTCAACAGGTAACAACTGCCTACTAATACCAAGCATTGTGCAAGGCACTTAAGATACAGAAACAAAACAAACAAAAAAAAATGGGACAATCTCTGGCCTCTAAGGGCTTCCATTTTCCTGGGAATTGGGGGTGGGATAAGGGAAGCTAAGGATTTTTACTCTGGAGTAGAGAATTGTTTAATTTATTTTACTACCCCTAAACTTCTCCACAAAAAATAAAACAAAAAGCACTTCTGAAGAGCTTGTGGAGAGTTGGTCCAAGTCACCAGTGTTGTAACCCAAGAAGATAAAAATCCTTCCCCACACATGCCAGGTCATGGGGGACAAAAGGGGGAAAAAAACTGATAGAGAAGCAGAGAGTAGGGGAATAGTTGGTATAGTTGTATCTTCTTTTCTTAGTTTAAATGCTATTTCACTGAGAGGTTTTGTGTTTAATATAAAAAAATAATTATTACCTCTGACTGATTTCTATTTCACGTGTCTTGCCTGCAGAGTAGATAATTTAAGCATGGAGGCTGGTAGTATTACAGAGTGTTCAGACTTGTTTACAAGTCAGTTTGACATTAGACCCTTGAAATTTTCAAGTGTCAAGAAACCAGTTGCTAAATTGTGACTAATCAAAACTAAAAATATAATAGAAGGGCAAAAAAGGCCAGGAATGGAAAAGACGAGGTAGAGAAAGCAATTTTAAAGTAATCTCATCAGAAATTTTTGAACAAAGATTAGTTTTTTTTTAACCTTCATAATGGCTGAAAAATTCTTCCATTTATTATCCATTTCATGCACTTTACTGCAACATGTAAACAGATGCTCTGTAATAGGTTATTGAGTTTGTCCATTTGAGGGAAGAGGAGAAAAAATGTGTAAGTCATCCTTAGAGAAAAAAAAAAGTCCTGCAAATTTTATTAACAAATAATTGAATAAACCATATGTTCAAATTTTAGAATAGACTTTAATATACTACCTGCAAAGCCCCAATTAATAAAGCAGAGAGCTAAAGGTGGGGAAGAGGAAACTTATCTTCTTTACTCTAAGGTAAAACTCAAATTGTTTTTGTAGTCATCAATAGCTATTGCATTTACTTGGGAAGATTTCTAAAAAATTTTTCCTTGCCCAATTTTATTTATTTATTTATTTTTTGCTTTTTGTTTTTTAAATTCTGAACTTAACAAACATTAAATAAAATGGACACTTTCATACACATTGTATAAAGGAAGACTATGTATGAAACTGTAGATCTTTATTATGTATAGCTTACTTTTCTCTTAAATATACAATACATTCAATATGTAACTTTCTAAGCTACCTTACTTATCTGAATTTCTTTCTGGGCTTCTTTCTATTCTCTTCAGGGTATTAAAAATGCTTGTGACTTTTTCTTTTCCTTTTTTTTTTTGGCTAATCTAAAACTTTCATCCCTTCTACCAAGCCCTACAATTGGTGGGAAAAATGGGAAATGAAGAAATAATGCCCTTGTAACAAATATGACTGGTCAAGCAACACAGATTCCTACATTGGTTATGTCTGAAAACGGATGTCTTATTCTGTAGCTTGGATCCATCACTTCTCTGTCAACAGATGGATAGCATGCTTTAGTCCTCTGGAATCATGGTTGGTCATTGTACTGATCAGAATTCATAAGTCTTTCAAAGAGGTTATTTATTTAGTGGTCTTACTGTTTGTATTGTTCTCATGGTTTTACTCACCTTACTATGTACCAGTTCATACAATTCTTTCCAAGTTTTTCTGAAACTGTCCATTCCAGTATTTTTTACAGGTCAATAATCAATTATTTATGACGTACCCACTATGTGCCAGATACTCTGCTAGGCTCTGGAAATACAAGTACAAATAATGAAATAATACTTACATCAATGAGCTTATGTTTTAATGGGGGGAGGGCAAGAACAAGTATGCCAAAATTACAGAACATAAATATAAAGTTTGTAAATACAAGTATGTACAACACGGTTAAATACAAGATAATTTTAAAGAATGCCCTCTAAGAGTTGGGGAAAGGCAAACAGTGCCCCCTGAGTTGAATCTTTGAAGCAGAGAGGAACTCTGAGATGGAGATAAAGAAAAAAATATATATTCTGGGTATGAGGAATGGTGGGTACAAAGGCAGGAGAATAAGAGAGGGAATGTCATGTGAGGAACAGAGATGTCAGTTTTGCTAGATCACACCAAATGAAGCTGGAAAGATAGGATGGGAGCAGGTTGTGTAGGGATTTAAAAGCTAAACAGTTTATATTATATGCCAGAGGCAATAGAAAGACACTGCAGTTTTTTGAGGAGGGGCGGAACATGGTCAGATCTGATTTTAAGGAAAATTACCATTACAGCAATGTGTAGAATGGATTGAAATGGGAAGAGACTTGAGGCAGCAAGCCCAACCAGGAAATTGTTGCAATAATATTCCATTTCATTAAAATATCATTTGTTTAGCCATCCAATTGATTGATACCCCATTAGTTTTCAGTTCTTTGCTATAACAAAAAGATGTTATAAATTTTTGTAGATATGGGTCCTTTTCCTCTTTCTTTGATCTCTTTGTGTCATAGGCCTTGTAATGGCATCTCTAGGTCAAAGGATATACACATTTAATGACTTTTTGTTCTTGCCCAATTAAAAAACAAACAATAACAACACTATCTATCTTATAGTCAAAGCATGAATCCTGATAATCTAGTTTTTTAAAATGAAAAATGTGAACAGAGATAGTAACAATAATAGTAATAATAACAATAATAATAGCTAGCACTTATGTAATGCTTTAAGCTTTGTAAAGTAGCCATTTACATATGTTATGTCATTTGATTCTCACAACAACCATGGTGAGGTAGGTACTATTATTATCCCTAATTTTAGCAAAGCATTCTATCCCCTATACCACCCAGCTGACTATAAGTAGCAGAGTATGAGAACACACAGATGTGCACAGTAGTAGCCAGGCTACTTTGGTCAGGGATTATCCTACTTTCACTGAAGGAAGAAGTCTTCCAGGGAGCAGGAAGAGTGAAGAGGTGTTTGACCATCATATATATATTTAGAAATATCAAAGTTGGAAATTCTGGTGACAAATTAGGGAATAAACTGTATTTTCATCATCATTGTCCAAATAAATGGTTGCTACATTTTTCTGGATGCTACCTGTTCAAATAATTTTTAAGATATTCAGAAGAAGGGGAAAAGGCAAAACTCCCTCAGAACAGAGGATGCAGTAGCTTATCACATATTTTTTAAAAAAAACATGCTATCTCCTGTATTTTTCTTTTATAAAAATAAGTCTGGCTATCTTTTGCTTTTAAGCATCTATGCCCCCTTATATAACCCTTCTCCTCTCCCAGAAAGCTGACCTTTATAACCAAGAAATACAAAAGAGAAAGAAAAAACAGTTCAGTAAAACTAGTCTGCACATCAACCAAGTCAGACACTGCATGAGTGTTCCATACCCACAGTCCTTCTGCTTTGCAAAGAATAGAGAGAGGGGGAGATTCATTCTCATATTTCTTCTTTGGGACCAAGCTGAGCTAGTAGAATTTCATAGCATTCCTTTTCAATTGCTTTGAGGGTCTTTTCATTTACATTAAAATCATTGGGTATTTTTTGGTTTGTTTTCTTCACATTCTCCATTGCACACAGCAAAATAACATCCCATTACATTCATGTTCTTTAGTTTGTTTAGTTATTCCCCAATCAATGGGTGTCTGCTTTGATTCCAGTATAAAAAATGCTCTACCAATTTTAATGACAACAAGAGGGGAAAGATATCTCACTTGCCCTTCTTCATCTTTTCTCTTCAATTTTTTTCTGTGCAGTTCAAGCACACATCCTCCCTAAAGATTCCATCTCTCCTTGTGGAGGTCTCCCCATAGGTATTTTAAAATTTCCTGAGTACCAGGACAACACTGGAGTTATCTGTCAATGAGCCTTCCCTCTTGCCACATGACTGTCCCACTTCTTTTTCCATTCGCGTCATGATACGGTACAGCCCATTTGTGTCCACTATAAATGCCACCATTATCCTTTTGGGTTATCCTCAACTTCGATTCCTTTGAATGCTGTGGCACTGTAAGATTTGATAGCTTTTAAAGATTTTTTTTTATGCCACAGATCAGCTTTGAGTTGCTAAAGGAAAAAAGTTACTGTACAGTTTTCCAAATGTAATCCAGTACACTTCCTTATTACAATTCAAATCTGGGACCACTCATCGTCCTTTTGTGGCTCCAATCCCATTTTAATACTGTCAACTCAATGAACTACCTGTCATTGTCTGAACAACAGGTAGTTTTTAATCAATAGAACTTTTTCCTACATAGATTGTGTGACAAATGAGTATTTTTTTCTTGTATTTAATAACTAATTATTGAATCAGAACCAAGGTTTTTCCCCTTTTCTACTTCCTCATCCAGAAATCAGCCAGTGTGAGAAGTCAAAGATGTACCTAGGCCAAGATCTAATCAGACGGTAAAAAGAAATTCTAAGTTTGGGCTAATGGGTGCATTCCTGCTCATTGTGTTTGTTCTGACAGATCTGGGGAAATGTTGAGTCTCCCTTTTGTCAGATACTTGATATGGAAATTGCTAAGTCTCTTTGACCAAGATTTGGGTGACCCAAGTCACATACTCCAAGACCCTCATTGTAATATAGCCCAGCTTCTCATTATAATATTCATTTTCTTATTAATTGTTAACCAATCAGAGTTGATTGCTACCACATACTCTTTGAAGGGCATATAAAGCCCACCACCATGAAGGGTCTTTAGTCTGAGATGGCCAATGCCCATTCTTTTATTAATAAATGTGCTCCCCTTACTAATAAAATGATTAAATTAGCCCAAAACTACATGTCTCAGAACTTTTTTAATTGTCAAAATTGTTAGGCTGATCTCTTTTGGGTAATCATGGATCTTGTTGAAAAAAGCCTTAAGTGTTCCAGGAATAAATGCAATCAACATAATATCCTGCACAAACAGGAACATCTGGATGACCTCACCATCTACAGGCAGCTAGCTAAGCATCTAGGTGGCATGGTGAAGAGAGCACTAAACCTGGAGTCAGGAACACAAGTTCAAATCCAGCTTATTAACTGTGTGACCTGGGCAAATCACTTAATTTCTGTTTGCTTCAGTTCCTTCATCCGTAAAATGGGGATAGTAACAGCACATACTAACCAGTGTTGTTGTGGGGATCAAACCAGGTAATAATTGTAAAGTGCTTTCTTTGCAAGGCTAAAAGTGCTATATAAATGTTAGCTATTATTATCTTTAGCAGGGGTTCTGACAAAAAATATTTTTTATAACTATTTCAGTATAATTGGCTTCCTTTGCGATCCTGTGCATCTTATTTTCTGAATTTTGAAAGAATTTCTGAAGTGGGAGGTAGTAGCTAGGCTTCAGCAGACTGGCAGAAGAGGTTAAAAACTGATCTACAGGGAATCTATCCTACATTTGGACTTCCTACAAAATATCTTCTATGAGAAAGAGCACAACTTTGATAAAAATCTAGCTCCTTGATTTATATCTCAAATAATTATCAAAGGGTATCAAGGTGGAGGGGAAATTTTGCATCAAATGTCACTAATAAAATTTGAGACTTAAAATATATATGGAATTGATACACATTAAGAGTCATTCCTCAATTCACTAAGTGGTCAAAGGATATAAAAAGTTTTCAAAAGAAAAGCATAACCATGAATGACCATATGAAAATATGCCCCAAATCACTAATAATAAGAGAAATGCACATTTAAACTATTTAAGCTAAGTGGCAAAGATGACAAAAATGGGGAAATAGTGTTGGAGAGCTATGAGAAGAGAAGTGCACTAATACACTGTTATTGGAACTGTGGATTGGTCCAACTCTTCAAGAAAACAATTTGGAATTATAGAAATAAGGGGATTACATGATCATAGCTTTTGATCTATGTTTAACTAAGCATATGACCCAAGGACAGTAGACAGGAAATAAGATTCCAACATAAAGCAAAATATTCATAGAAGCACTCTTTGTGCTATCAACTAACCACAAAGGGGACACACACTGGCTAAATATACAGTGATATATCAATAACATGGAACATTATTGTGCAGTAAAGAATGATGAGGAACTGAAAAGAACTTACTAAGCTTTGTGTTAACTGAGGCAGAGTAAAATGGGTAGAACCAGAGGAATATAAACAATTAATATAGTAGTGCAAATGAAAAGAGAACTAAAAGAAAACTGAACTCTGAGTAAAACAAAACAAAACAAAAATAATCCTCAAGAGGAAATAATGATTTGGAACCCAAAGTTTTAAAAACAAATGTTAAAAAATTGTTTTCACATGTAACTGGGAAATAAGATATACAGGCAATGGGGTGTAGAAATCTATCCTGCCCTACAGGAAAACAGAAGGGGAAGGGGATAAGAGAAGGTAGTGGGGTGGTAGAAAGGAGGGTAGATTAGGGGAAGGGGTATTCAGAATGCACACTGTCTTGGGGTGGGGGGAGGCACAAGATGGGGAGAAAATTTGGAACTCAAAATCTTGTGGATGTGAATGTTGAAAACTAAAAATAAATAAGTTCATGAATCTTAAAAAAAAGTTTAAAAAGAACAAATAATGAAACATTACTCTTGGGAGAAAGGTGGGTGACAATCAGTGTCGAATGTTGCATATGTTGTCATACATGGTTACTGTATCTATTGTTTTTGCTTAACTGTTTTTTCTTTGTTACAAGGGAGAAATCAATATCAGAATGGTGATGGTATATCCAGGAATGTCAGTGATGTAAAAGCAAAAAGAATCAATGAACATTTTTTAAATT